AACCAGTGCCTGGAGCACCAACCTACACCCACCGCACTCGCCTCCACTGCCCACACTGCCCTCGCACCTTCACGCATCGCATGGGTTTATTCGGTCACATGCGCATCCACGAGATCGGAATTGACCACAATTCCGATACAGCCACGACGTCCAACACGCCCAGACCCATCCTCGCTCCACCGTCACACGCGCCGACCACCACCAACACCACTGCTTCCTCTACAGCTGACACCGACACCGCCGACCTCTAATGCCCACATTGTCCACGCACCTTCACCTCACGCATCGACCTGGTCGGTCACTTGCGAATCCATCGCACAGAGACTGGCGAACCAGTGCCTGGATCACCAACCTACACCCACCGCACTCGCCTCCACTGCCCACACTGCCCTCGCAACTTCACGCATCGCATGGGTCTATTCGGCCACATGCGCATCCACGACGACCTGCGGTAGACAACCGTCGGTCACACCACACATTCCCTCACTCCCTACCTCCTAACACCATCACCCACCAGACATCAACCCCCACACACCTTATGCACTCAACTGCCGCCTCGAACGCAAGTGGGAAGTCCGCATCTCGACTCGGTCCCCATGCGGCTTCGGCTGCACGGGTGACTTGTGTCCGAGACTATCCCGACACGTCAAGCGTCGTGGATAGGAAGGTTGCTGATTGAGGCCTGCTCTCGGTTCACGCAGTTCGTCACGTTGTGTGTGTGTTGTGTGTAGTGGCGGACTGGTGGGCTGAGGATAGGCTGAAGCAGCACCTTCCACGGCCCTCTCACGCAAGTGGGAGACACGCCGTCCTACCCCCGTTGTGTGAAATCCTGGTGTTTGTGTGTGTATGGGGGGCCAGGTCGTGCTGTGGCGCGCGCAGTCATGGTCAGTCGACCTTTACAGCCACCGCGCCCATTTCCCACTCCAGTCTGCTGACCGGCTCGGACAGCGGCTGGGGTGTGGGAATGGGAAGGGAGACTGAGGTCGACGACTCAGAGCACTTTCTCCTCACTATAATCAATCTGACGCGCTTGAAGCTATCAAGGTGCGCTAAAAGCCGTGGCTTGGAAGGTTGCCAACTGACGGGGTACCTTGGACCTCCTCCTTAACGGGAGGCGGTCTGAGAGTCATGCTGCAATGGCTCCTTTTTAATTTGGCCTTTATGGCACTCTCACCACAGTGTGGGATCCGAGCCAGGCGTTGGCGGCACGCCCAGGTGCGGCTTCGGCCGTGCCAGCCTCCAAATCTCTGTTGTGTTGGCTGAAATCCTGGTTATTTGTTGTGTGGACCAGGGGTGTGGTGGAACGCCAAGGTGAAGATCCGTCCGAGCCATCCACCTGCGGCCTCTCTGGTCTCCGGTCTTCTTGACTCTGTCTTGACACCGGGCTTGGGCGAGGGAGGAGGAGAGAGTGTAGGTAGATGCTACGCAAGTCTACCGGCACTATAAACCCCTGCGTAAGTCACCGTCCCTGCTCCCATCGCTGCTGTAACTGTGGGGCACACGGTGGACATCATCGAAATCGACAGTCGAACTGTCGGGTAGTTGCCGGTGAATGTGCTGTGTGTATCTGATATTTTTAGCCGCCTTTCGACCATACATTGACGTAAAAAGGCATTTGCGTACCCATTTTGGGAACATAATCTGCAGAGGTATTTCATTTCTGCTCAATAACCTGCTTCCCTAGAGCAGTGAGTTTTGGCTCGATTCAGAAGGCTATAGACCGTACACTGTTTGTGAGAGACATGGGAGCGTGCTTTAATTGTCGATAGTATTGTCTGGGGAAGGAAAAGTGTGTTTCAAGATAGTGATCTAGGAGTTGGAGTAGAGCGCTTGCAAGCCCTATAAAATCGCCGGATACGTGTATTTAAAAAACACTGAAACACCTTGCAGAAGGGGAATTAGTCCCGGGAGTCCTTGCCGAGGCTTTGAAAGAGGATGAACCAACAATTGCCAAGACTGACGGATATATATATATATCAGCCTGAGTGAGGATTTGAGGTCCAGATAAACTGTCCCGTTCATCATCCCAAAAAGAAGACTAAGAAGAAAGGGAGGCGATTCCATGGACCACACTGTATTTGTGCTGACCTTTCGGAAACCTTTTTCTCCACCATCAGAGTGTTGTGGTATTTGTTCCTGCTAGCCCAGTTGTTCTGTCTCACCGCCTGTGTCGTGTTATAGGCTTCCCTGGTGCACGAACTCTGACCTGCCTGCTGGTGGGGGATAGGCTCTGGTCTCTTCGTGGCTGACCGCTGGGGCGCTCGTGTGACCTCTGTCTCCTGCCCGGCCCTCGTTGTCGATGTTCGTGTGCCCTTGGGCCCTCCGCCATAACCCGATGGGCTGATCAGCTGCCGTTGCATGTGCGAATCGTGTTCGGCTGTTTGAGCTTCTCGGTGGATCGATGTCTCGCGTCGGTCGTGTGACTCCCTGTTGGCTCTTTCCTCTGCTGCGAAAGTGACAACTGTTGAGAGACACAATTTGTTCGCCAGTGCTGTCGGCCCCGTTTGGACTGACTGAAACCTCGTACGTAGCGCCTGGTAAGTCCTCATTGGCACTCACGTATGAAGGGTCATGGTTAACCATTGGCTGTAAATAGGGAATGTAGGTATTTCGCTTCTTCCCTTCTCGCATCGTCGATACATTATGTTTGGACCGATGCCACTATGACGCGTTTCTACGGTCTGCCAAAAGTGAAAAAACCAGGGGTGCCTCTACGCCTAGTAGACGCGGCATCTCGACCTTGGGACTGCCGAAATGGCTTTGCCAAGGATTCCGTTTCCTGACCGAGGATTCCGAATGAATGGTGAAGTCGGCTGAGCAGTTCCTGATGAGTATCAGACGTCTAGAAATAGAGCCAGACGAGATTGTGGTATAGTTTGACTTGGTCCCCTTAATCACCTCCATTCCAACCGGCCTTGCCATCAACCCCATTGACAAGCTTCCTCTGGAAAAGTATGATGAAACTGATCAACGAATTAAACGAACGCACGTCATCGAGCTCCTGGAATTGTGCCTCAGAACCTTCTTCACTTTCAACAACCGGATTTACGAGCAAAAGTAGAGAACACCGATGGGCTCCCCGCTATCTGGTCTGATTGCCGAGGCTGTTTTGCAGAGGCTTGAGGGACTGGTCTTCCATTCATAACCCCCAAAATTCTGGGCCCGATATATCGACGACACATTTGCCGTAATCAAGAGAAACGACGTTCAGGACTTCAAGGTCTTGTTGAACTCAATATTCCCCGACATCCAATTTACAATGGAAGAGGAGAACAACAACCAGTTACCCTTCCTTGACGTAAACGTCACTAAGATGGCTAGTGGGGGGATCAGAATTACGGTATACCGAAAGGCAACGAATACTGGACTCATCCTCCAATCGCGGAGTAACCACCCCATTGGTCACAAACGCAGTTGTATCAGAACGCTTTTCCAAGGAGTTCAAACACACTGTGCTGACGAGGACGGGAGAAGGGGGAAGCGAAATACCTACATTTGCTATTCACAGGCAATGGTTACCCACGCTCCTTTATACGTGAGTACCGAAGAGGACATACCCGCGAACGATCTAACGATGAGAAGTCGAAGTTCTGGCTCGCGATCTCGTACGTGCGGAATGTTTCTGAGGCGACGGCAAGAATCGTGAGTCCTTTTGGGGTTGGGATGGCCCGGAAACCGAAATCCACTATCAGGCAACAGATAATGAGACCCCAATACCAGCTATCGGCAAGTGAACAATCAACATTGATTTACAGCATACCTCACCGAAATTTCAGTCCGAGGTATGTTGGTGAAACGGGCAAACGCCTCTGCAAAAGATTTTACGTGCACCAACTTGCAATCAACCGCGAGGATAAGTTGTCACTGGTATATGGGCAAATAAAACAGGAGGAACACAGATTCGTCTTCGGGGAATTAAGTGTAATCGGCCGAGACAACGAAAAGATGGCCAGACCGGTCCTCAATTGGCACAATCGACAGAGCCATTTATGAAAAAGGAGATACGATTACTGGGACAAGAGCTTTAGTCACCCGACGTTTCGCATTCCTGCTCGATCCCATCATCAGAGACAATAGAAGATAAGGGTCGTTCATACACAGGGGGCTGCAGTATTTATAGGATGCAGTCGCCATGCTACCGCATACCTGTGAGAATTCACGGGTTCCCCTTCATCGGGGATTGTTGCATTTGGAGTGATGGCTGTTTGGTGGCCGACATTCGTGTCGTTAATCGCTGTAATTTAATCGCGGGTGTTCAATGTTGGTGCGATGATTGCTCGGCCATCTGACACACCGACTCAGGAGTCGGGGACAGCGGTCATCTCTGCGCTCCCGTGTGGCTAATTACTCCTCCTAGGTAAAGTCCCTGCACTGACTGTGGAAGGGGAAGCTCGTTTCACTTGTTAATAGACCGGGGACCAATGAGCCATGACTCAAACAGTTAGCGAATCACGTGGTTGTCCCCTCTAGTGAGAATTTAGGCCTCGTCGAATTTGAACGTGTGATCGGATCTCGTCGAATGAGCCTCAACTTGAGAGCTGGCGTCATTTCTTCCCACAGATGCGCGTGTTGGGCCATTCGCGTTCGTAGCAGTCTTCCAGTTTCTCCAACGTAGCTGCCTTGTCCGCAACTGCACTAGGCGTTTCTTGCCGTGGCAGCGGATCTTTCGGTTTCATTACCTGATGCCTGACAGTTGCCTCCGGTCTGTGTGTAACTCCAACCACACGTGGTGCGAGAAAGCGACCGACAGTTTCCGAAACGTTCTTGACATACGTAAGTGCCCGACAAAATTTGGGGTCCTTGCTGTTTAGCCTTTCGTCCATGTTACATATGCACCGGTCGACGAAGTTGCTCCGGTAGCCGTTGGCTTTGAAGACCCGTCCAGGATATTGTATTTCGGCAATTTCGTCTTCCGGCTCACTGCGGTGAGTTATGACACGCCGACAAAGCGGCCTTACACAACTACATTTGTGGTTGATTGGCTGACTTCTGTCCAGTACTTACGTCGTATTTGTCGCTTCCCCCCACACTTTGGTCTTTAGGCCACCGCAATCTTTGCGGCATACGAGGACATTTAGGAAGGCCAGCTGGTTGTTCTCTTCCTCCTCCATCGTAAATGGTATGTTCGGGAGGACCGAAATGAGACGTTCTTTGAATGTCAGCAGTTGATCGTGATCGATAACGATGAAGGTATCATGCACATACCGGACCCAAAACTTCAGTGTGTGGTCTTGGAAAACTAGCGACTCCAACCGTTGCAGGACAGTCTCGGCGATGAATCCCGAAATCGGGGAACCCATTGGTGTGCCCTTCACCTGTTCGTAGATTGTCCCGTAGAACGGGAAGCACGTCCTAAGACAGAACTTCAGGAGCTGAAGGACTTGGGCGTGTACAAGACGATTCTCCGTTTCATCGTATTTGCTTTGTAGAGGCAGCCTAATTGTCTCGATCGCCAGATCCTGAGGAATATAAGTAGAAAGGGACGTAACATCAGAAGATATCATGACCTCATTTGGATGGAGGCTTACGCCTTCGAGTTTCTCCAGGAATTGTGCTGAGAAGAGACCATGGTGTCTGACTCAGCGGTCAGGAACTTGAGACGCCTGAACAACCACTTAGCCAGCCCGTACGTTGGAGTACCTTTGAGCGACACGATGGGTCGGAGAGGAGCGCCGTCTTTGTGCACCTTAGGGAGGCCATAGAATCGGGCCAAATCTGTATCTTGGGGTCTAGCCATGCGTCTTTCGGTCGGTGTTATTGCACCCGAGTTCTCCAAGGCCAACAACGTAGCATTACGTTCGCGTGTCAGCGTCTTTAAAGGGTTCGTTGCACATGGGACATAGAACTGTCGGTCCTCCAGTAAACCTTTGGCTTTTTGAAGGTAGTCTATCCTGTCCAAAACAGCCGTGGAGCGCTTCTTGTCCGCTGGCACGACGGCCACGCCTTTGTCGGCCTTGAGCTCTCTAGGCGCACCACGTTCGACCTTGGAAAGTACTTCCCGCGGCCTGTGGGCCATTAGGAGAAAAGGCACTTGGTGTCAGATGAGGCACTTAGTCTACTCCGTTACTTCCGTCCGAATAAGGATTGATTCCACTGATACAATCATATTAACAGGTTTGGCGTCAGCCGCGTTGAATGAAGATTCGTGCCATGACACCTGCAACTGATCCTTCGTCCGCTTCTTTGATGACAGGTTGTGCACCAGTTTGTCGTTTCTGGACGACGTTTAATTGGGCAGCTTTCGGAATTTATTCGACAGTGCTGCGTCACGCATCATTCGCTGTTCGAGGGCTCCTTCAGCCATCCTCTACAGGAGCAGATTTGTACCGATCACACCCATGAACTCACAGCATCTGGTTTTTTCTCGGCCAATCCTCTGACAGTACTTGGGAAGTCTCGCGTGGTAATGTTTGAGGAGAACCGGATCATTCTTTTGCCAAGCTGAAATAGTGCTTGTCTCGCCAAATCCGTGTTCACCGGGGCTTGTATGAAACGCATTTTGGTAACACATTGTGATCGAGACACCCGTGCAGAAACCGAATCGGTGAACACGCGGAGGCCTCCATTTGCGTGAGTTTTTACAACGATTTCACTCGCATTGTCCTAAATAAACTCCGTGTGAGGGTAGGGTGGAGGCCGCCAAGTATCTACGGCATATAAAGAATGCCTACTATGCTTGTTTGAGTAGGTCGTGTTTATTCGTTACTCCTCTACACATGGGGTTTGCTTCCGGACGTTGTGTAACCTGCCATGACCCTGTCTCAGGGAGTTGAAAAGCGACCATTTGGCTTCACTCTTGTATAGTAGACGTTGCTTTTCGCCTTATCATTACCTACCCTTGACCGTGCAGTGATATTTCAGAAAACCTCGTATTGACTGTGTCGTTCATCGTAGACTTTAGTTCATATCATTGGAAAGTGATCGGTGGGCTTCACTCCTTCATCATGGATGTTGCTCTTCTCCTTACCATTACATAACATTGGCTGTGTTGAGATACTTCAGAAAGCACCGTATCGAATTGATCGTTCGTCGTAGACGTTGCTCCTTTCCTTAGCAAAACCCACAATGACCTTAGCCCAGAAAGTTGAGGAGCGACCGCATCGATCCACGGAAATGTCGCAGACGGGTGCATGTGGTTAGTCGCTGATACTTGGGGCTAGTAGTCTACCACAGATGTTAGGGTGAACTTTACCATTACAGCTGAGACGATTGTATTGGTCCAGTGGATTGACGAGGATGCCACACTTCCTTCATGGTTGCTGCGCATGACCGCAGCTCACAGACATCGGACGCTGCTCATTATCATATCACTATCTATCATGAGCGCAGTCCACACATTTAAGAAGCGTTCGCATCGTTCCCGGACCGCCGATGATGCCACAGTTCTTTTTAGTTTGCTACGGATGAACGAGCTTGACAGGCATCGGAAGCATTCGTATTGCTTCCTCGGTTCTGCTTAGACGTTGCTGCTCATTTAAGCATTCCCTGTAATTACTATGGCTAAAAGGGTTAACAAACAGCAGTATTGGTATGGTGGTCTGCCGCTGACTGTGACGATACACCTTACGATTCCTTCTGATGGTATTAACTCGCACAGTTGGATTGCATTCGTATGGATTCGTTCTTCCAATACAGAGGTCATTTCTTATGAAAAGAAGCCAGACGACAAAAATATCGCTATGTTGCAGTCCCAAGGTCCTAGGGAACGTAGGGTAGATGGCTTGAAAGAACTAGGTTTGCCTCTGCAAAACGAGACAGGAAAACATCTCATGCCTCCTTCAGCCCCATGTTATTCAAACCAAACCACAGACGATACTGCAATTCATCAGTATGCAGTCCACAGAAGGCGTTTACTCTGCAGTATTCCACCATCTTCTCTGAATTTATTTCCAATAATATTTCTTCTGTCTTGCTTCGAGGATGTGACTGAGTTCGACCAGTTCTTTTGGCTCCCGCTCCCAATGAGCTGTAATATTGAGAAAAATATAGCCTATTGAGAATAAACTATACCAACAGATGACGGTTTTAGGTCTTTAGTGACTCCGAATTGGCTACCGAAACATGTTTATATCTACTGCCTTCATTGACTAGGATCATACAGAATAACCAAGGGAGGTTGCCAAACACTTACTTTTCGCCTCCCATTATGAGAAACGAGTTGGTCAGATATCGTTGCCATAGCGTCCATTGACAGTGATACACAGTACATTGAATTTCAGAGCGGTTGGCTCTCTCACATCTTTTCATTCATTCTCATTGGCTGAATTGCCCTGGTTACCTGTCCCGATTTAGACAATTGATTGATGGTTAACTTGAATTGGCTTATTCTTTAAATGCCACTTATTGTTTACATTTTAATTGTCCTGGTGTGACATCCCTGATGTCAATTGTAGTATTGTTTTTGTTTTGCTACTAACCGTTTGTTAGTAACCAGACTTTACTCATATCACCCTGTCTTTGCCTCTGTATCCGTATTCGTCGGTTCTCGTCATTCTCTGTTCATTGTTCCTTGTCCATTGTGTATTGCTCTTTGTTGCCGCTCGCCTATAAACCGACCACCACCCTTTGGCGTCATTCGCTGACTGTTCGCCTTATCACCTCGAATGTACGTCCACTTTTCAATTTATTCACCGCTTTATTATCTCTATTTTGCTCCGCTAATCTTACTGTTTATTGCTATAGAACCACAAAGAATAACCGAGTTATCCCGACTGTCTTCTGACATAGCTTTGACCTCGAGTACGTCTACTCCGGTGAATAAACCAGCAGTGAATCGAGAAAATCTAAAGAATATTAACACCCCGTTCGTTTTCTTTGATATATGTCAGCGTATTGAAAGTTTTACGGCACAAAATTAAATACCTCACATACTTTCCATATTTTTTTGCACTTTACCCTCCATCCATATGCCCCGCCCATAAAAGCTCTATTACCACCTGTGGTTAGTCGCCGATACTTTGGAGCCTTTAGCCTACCGTTGTCAAACTCCGTCTAACAGCATTTAATTCGACATTCATAACGACACACTGCTACCTGTTTCTTTTGTGTTCACATGAACTTGTGATCAAAAACGATCCCATTATGGTCAGCTCGAATTGTCATCTCAGCGAACAAGCCATAAAGATCGCAACGGTATGTTGAAACGTCAGACTCACCGAAGAAGGTTCTGAACTAGCAGGCCACT